AAACGCAAAATCTGTCAACTGAAACGCTGACACCCCTGTAACATAAATTGAACATACGTGGGACGTTCTGGAGACTAATTGTGACATGCTGGTAAGCAGCAGATTTTGTTGTACATATCAATGCATCAGAGCTAGCCAGAAATTGTTTCGTATAGATGTGGCGGATCATTTGTCATTCTTGCCGAAAGGGTAGCTGGTTGATCCAGTGTTGTTCCCTGTACAGATACTGCGGGCCACTCCAACATTGGCAATGGTAAATGGGAACAATCTGCATGCCCTGACATGTGTGGCTCGGCATGTTGAAATATCTGGCTACCGGCAGGTCCTGGCGTTTTGCTTGCCATATGAGACAGCAGCGGTTATTGATTCTAAGGTTACAGGTCAGTGGTAGGGCCATGGACACAAATATGGCACCATCATACGCCAACGTGTTTATGGGACACTTGGAATCAAAGCTACTTGAAACTACAAGTTGGAGGGCTAGGAAGTAATTCTTACAGTGTAGACAATATGATGTCAAATGTTTGGAGCAATCTGATCCTTTATCGAGACACACAAAAATCACAAAAATCAATAATTGTGCAAACTGTGTCCAGAAACACAATCTACAGATACATTTAAATGTGAAATGAATGTTAAAGAGTATCACATATTAAAAACATTGACATGCACATCAGTCAATATAGTATACCTGATTTCCTGCAAAAAAACCCATCATGATGTGGTTGAAACGAGCACAAATCTCAATATCAGAATCAACAATCAACACTGCTCCATTAAGCAGAACAAATCAGATTTTCCTATGGCAAGGCACCTTAACCTGCCTATCCAAAATTGCCCAATCTGGAATGAATCGGGACGGTGCTTGGAGAAAAGTACCGGATCATCAACCAACAAACCCGCTTCACTCCAATGATAAGCGCGCTATATCCGTTTGTTTCCCTTCCCGGTGGGTATTTGACAAGCTGGTTCAATGCTATTGGTCTGCTGACTCACACGTTGGCTGCTACTTGCCAGTGTATGAGACTAACAGATGCTGTAAAATGTAGTGGATGCAATATCTGCATCTCGGTGTGCCAATTCGTCACTTAATTATGATATTTTTCTCATTTTCACTGAGTTTTGATTAGTTATCTTTTGCAAAAACTTATGTTGACTATATGTTTACCTTTCAAAAATATATTTTCCAAGTTTCTACGCCATATCCAAATGTTCATCTTGGGACGAATCGTCGTGAATTTTTTCCAGCTTCTGTATCTTCAATCTCTTTGTCGTTGTTTGCACACAATCAGTATCATTAATCAACGATGTGGTCATTGTTAATTTTGAACTCAGCCGAATGGCTTATTGTTTTCAATCAATGATTTAAAAACATATGATTCGAGACAGAGTGCAGTGAGAATGTATTTTGATGTTTCATTACAGAGCTAACAATGTGGAATATATGGCATTCCATTTGTGAAATGATATTCAATATTTCCGATCACGACGACCTTGCCAGATTAGCTACAATCATTAAGGAGGCATTTTATGAAGCTACAGGCGAAAGGCGGTTAGATAAACTTGTTTTTGAAAAAAGTAAGTAGATGTTAAAAACATTTTCCATTATAACTGAGAGTAAATTTGAGAAAATCAAAAATAGTCATGGCGGTGTCGATTTCAAAATATCTTAAATCGTGGAAGTTCACAACCATATTGATTGGTGGTGTAATCTTTTACACGTTTTGACATTTATAACTAGTTGACCGACGTACGAATATGCAATATTGATATAATTTGTTTGTTTGTTTGTATCTAGGACATGATCGATAATCCATGTTTTATCGAAACAAAATACTTATTTTTTCTGATTGATTCCAATCTCCTACATTTATGCAGACATTTATTCAAATTGATGCGAATAGTTATTCTCCTCTTCCAAGTATGCTGACATCATCTCGATATATTGACGGTGTCATATCCCCCTTACTCATTAATAAACGAATGCTAGAGATCAAGTTGTATATATATACAGATATAGGTAAATATATCTTTCAGAATGTATACGAGTTATCATTCAAATCAAAGCGGCCAACAGTCTGTCAGAAGCGCCTGCAGTCTGTCTAGCTGAACAGTTCAAGCATTATCTATTGGATGGTGGGTTAAAATTATCAGAAGAATCAAATGCCATTTTAGAAGTAGACGAATCAAGCATCAACATAACACCGGAGCATATGCCTGGAGATGGTAAGTTACATAGTTTTTGATCTGATATTAACGTCCGTTGAATTTGTAAACTCATGCCTTTACTTTGTTGTTTTTAGGACATCCGCTTGTGAACATTAGCCACCAAGAGTTTTCCGTTCCTAATAGCGAGTCGGTCATCTTGCAAACATATATCATCTCATCATCACCAGCTTCGTCAATCGAGTGGTTTCAGATAAAAGCTGAGGATAACGAGATTTCTTTAGAAATAAACAGCAAGAAATACTATGGAGGCTCTGAGCTGTCACCTTCTCTGATCATCCGAAACGTCAATGTTAATGATCAAGGATGGTATATTTGTCGGGCTACAAATAACAATGGAACTGGATGTAGCAATAAAACGTTCGTTCGGATAAACAATGGTACGTATTTCTTATAACTAATATGCAAGGTTTGGAGGGCGAAAATATCACAATATTATCTATTCATATAGTTTAATACTTTTGTTTGCACTGAAGTAAAACTATGATCAATATGGAACGACAAAAATAATAAGGCATTCAATATTAACTACCAGCACTTCCCTCTTCTCATCATATCGGCTTGGTCTGCAGATCATATTGACATGGATATTGACGGGGCAATACGTTATATAAGCGTGAGATGTTTTGATCGATTCGTTTTGACGCAGAAATAGGCCTAAACAAATGAGACACATCTCTGGTCTAGACAGGACGTGTTATAACTGTTGTATTAGGATGGATACACATTTTGTTCTCTTTTTTTTTATATATACTCTGAAATGATCGCAAACAATAAGTTATTTTGCCATTGCAAGCAAATGGCAATATCCAACTCAAATAAAGAATATTTTCTTTATTTCTTCTTAACATTAAGGTTTTACATTGTACAAAAAATACATTTAATAAGTCTATCTATATTGCTAAAGTAGCCCTAGCATTTCGAAGACGGATGTATAACTATGTTATCTATTAATATGAGTAAAGGGAATTAACGCATTGTAGTAAACATAATGAACAACTTGCACAGAATATAGCTTAACTATTGTTATTTGATAAACAGAACCAGCAGGAACAGAAGACAAACCTGGAATATTGGGAAAAGATATCAGTGACATCCAAGGTAGGATCCTAATTATATACACTGTATTTCGCTTTACTAGCAAACGTATCGATGAATGCACACCCAATATATAACAGGAGATGCGCAGTCTTCAGTGACATTCACCCAATACGTATTGCTCCGCTTACTGGAGTTTTCATATCCTAACCCAACAATACAACGGAACAAGCTGCTCACAATTGTATGACGCTCTAATCAGTAAATGTGGGAATTATGGCTTATGCATTTCAGGCTGTTACATTTAATGAATGGATCACAAGTAAATACGTTTTAGGAATCAATTTCATTTCTGGTGATCAGATTAATAAATAAAATAGTAATAAACCATTCATAGAAAAAAAACATTAATATAAGAAATAGTCTATTTTTGAAAGATAATGAGGTATTCGCCTTACTTAATAAAATCTGTTTCTATCAATGGAATAAAAAAGGAAAAACGTAGTCAATATCGTCAACAGCGATGTGAATCAATAAGCCAAGTAATTATTATGCTACTTGCAAGGTACAGAGTGTAGCATAACAAATGTAAAACGAATTCCGATCAAACAAACAAATAAAGTAGCATATGATCATGATCAGTTCCTGATTGGTCTTTGTGTAATGGCCGTTAAAAGTACTTCATCCTACTCATCGGTATGTTTGAGGCAATTATGTAGGCTACAAGTCACAAAAACAAATCCATACCCAGCAGTAAAATCGTTCACAAAGTACAATATTTGTACTGCTCCTTACCAAACAAAATCTCCAATAACGAGAGACAAGCCGATAGCAACTAAAACATTTATCAAAGACATCCAAAGTATGATGCTGATCTTGTACACTGTACCAAGTTAAAAAAAAACTACAAAGAGGGTATTCAAAGTACACTGACATCTATACATAAGCGCAGCCTGTTTAGATGAACTCTACGAATGCGATAAAACATTAAGTTTAAAACAAAGCATAAAACCGGTACTTCTCCGATTTTTACTTTGATTTCGAATGTTAAGTAAATGAGATACTTCGATTTAAGGAATCTAAGACAGATCATAGGTTGTCAGATGTATTCCATTTTTCACTCTATCATGTAGTTGATTTAGTGCATTCTTGTATGCAAATGGAGCAGTATATTCAACAGTAAAGTGATACACATCAGTGAGATTCATGATCTACAAGATGTCACTGATAAGTTTGTCGAACGGTATGAGAAATCTTAAACCAGCCAACGATGCACGACCTCCTATAACTATAGTATTACTTAATCAGTCGATATCTGTTTTAGGCAAAATTTGCAGTTCCGCTTACAACTAAAGGTTATTGTTAAAATAAACCATATTTTTATGGTGTAATACTTACCATAATTTCAGTATACATATTAAATACATACACCTCATTGTGGGCAGAGGGGCGGGGCCCATTAGGGAGACAGTAGGGAAAATTATTAAAATCCTTCATCTTCTGTATTAATGGTTGAATTTGAACCAAATTTAGTGAAGAGCATCCGTGGCCAAAAGGGACTTAATTGTATATACACGGAATGTATCCCCCCAACCATGGGTCAGGGGGGCGGGGCCGAACAGAATGCTGAACTTTGAGCATTATCGAGATACCCGCCCTATAACCATGTTAACAATTGCTGAGCATCAGGAGAAAAAACACAATCTTGATAAAATGTTTGACTTTTGGGTATGGCCTCCTCCCGAGTGATTAGGTTTATGTGCCATGACTTTGAAATAGTTGAGATCCCCACCGCAATACTATATACGTATATAACATTGCTGAGCTTAAGCAGACAAACGCAATCATGATTTTAATATTGACTCTTAGGTCTTGCCCCTACCTAAGGAACTTCATTCTTTGGCCATAACTTTGAAACGGTGGAGATTCCAACAGCAAGTTTGTCATCTTGCAGACATATATCATCTAGTCACCACCAGCTTCGTCAATCGCGTGGTTGAAGATAAAAGCTGATGATAACGACATTTCTATAGAAATATACAGCAAAACATACTATTGAGGCTCTGACCTGTTGATGATCAAGGTATCGGGCTATAAATAACAATGGTCTGGATGTAGCAATAAAACGTGCGTAGAAGGTAAAGAAATAACCATCAGTCTCAAGAGGAAATTAACTTATCAGCCCAAATGTGTTATTGTTGCTGCATGAAATGAGAATCATAAGACAAATGACCCGCCTAACGGATAGAAAAAATAAAAAAGAGCATTTTCTTTTGGCTGGCAGAGGTTGTGTGAACAGTATAGATACCTCATTATATATGTACAAAACTTACAGACATTATTGTTAAAAGCATATAATCCGATGGATAACTCAAATAAAGAATATTTTCTTCATTTAGTTTTAACATAAAGGTTTTACATTTTACAAAAATTACATTTCATAGGTCTATCTATATTGCTAATGTAGCCCTAGCATTTCGAAGACGGATGGATGACTATGTTATCTATCAATATGAAAAAAGAGAATTAACGCATTGTTGTAATTATAATGAACAGCTTGCACAATGTATAGCTTAACTATTGTTATTTGATCAAAAGAATCAGCAGGAACAGAAGACAAACCTGGAATATTTGTAAAAGATACCAGTGACATCCAAGGTAGGATTATAATTATATACACTGTATTATGCATTACTAAATGAGTAGATGAATACACAACCAATGTATAACAGGAGATGCGCAGTCTTTACTGACATTCACCCAATAAGTATTACTCCGCTTACTGGAGTTTTCATATCCTAACCTAACAATACAACGGGATAAGCTACACACAATTGTGTGACGCTCTAAACAGTAGATGTGGGAACTATGGCTTATGTATTTCAGGCTATTACATTTAATGAATGGACCACAAGTTAATAAGTTTTAGGAATCAATTTCATTTCTGCTAATCAGATTTAAGAATTAAATAATAACAAACCATTCATAGACAAAAAGCGTGAATATAAGAAATAGTTTTTATTTTGGGAAGATTATGAGGTATTCGCCTTACTTGATAAAATCTGTTTCTATAAATGGAATAAAGGAGAAAAAACGTAGTCAATATCGTCAACATCGATGTGAATCAATAAACCAAATAGTTCTTATGCTACTTGCAATGTAGCATAACAAATGTAAAACACATTCCGATCGAGTAAAAACGAATAAAGTAGCATATGATCATGATCATTTCCGGATTGTTCTTTGTGTAATGGCCTTTAGAATACTTCTTCCTACTCATAAATATGTTTGAGGCAATAACGTAGGCTACAAGTCACAAAAACAAATCCATATCAAGCAGGAAAATCATTCACAAAGTACAATAACAATATTTTTACTGCTGATTATTAAACAAAACTTCAGTATACATATTCAATACATACACCCAAACTTGTAGCCCATCAAGAAAGGATTAACAAAACTTGGCCCCTTACCCTCTCTTAACTCATATTTCGACGAATAGTGTGCCTCATTGTGGGCAGAGGGGCGGGGCCCATTAGGGAGACGGTAGGGAAAATTATTAAACACCTTCATCTTCTGTATTAATGGTTGAATTTGAACCAAATTTAGTAAAGAGCATCCGTGGCCAAAAGGGACTGAATTGTTTATACACGGAATGTATCCCCCCAACGATAGGTCTGAGGGGCGGGGCCAAAAGGAATGCTGAACTTGAGCATTATCGAGATTCCCGCCGTATAACCATGTTAACAATTTCTGAGCATCAAGAGAAAAAACACAATCTTGATAAAATGTTTGACTTTTGGGTATGGCCTCATCCCGAGTGATTAGGTTGCTGTGCCATGACTTCGAAATAGTTGAGATCCCACCGCAATACTATATACGTATATAACATTACTGAGCATAAACCGACAAACGCAATCATGATTTTAATATTGACTCTTAGGTCTTGCCCCTACCTAAGGAACTTCATGTTTTTGGCTATAACTTTGAAACGGTGGAGATTCCAACAGCAAGTTTGTCATCTTGCAGACATATATCATCTAATCATCACCAGCTTCGTCAATCGCGTATGTTGCTGCATGCAATGATAATCATAAAACAATTGACCCGCCTAACGGATAGAAAAAATAAAAAAGAGCATTTTCTTTTCGCTGGCAGAGGTTGTGTGAACAGTATAGATACCTCATTATATATGTACAAAACTTACAGACATTATTGTTAAAAGCATATAATCCGATGGATAACTCAAATAAAGAATATTTTCTTCATTTAGTTTTAGCATAAAGGTTTTACATTTTACAAAAATTACATTTCATAGGTCTATCTATATTGCTAATGTAGCCCTAGCATTTCGAAGACGGATGGATGACTATGTTATCTATCAATATGAAAAAAGAGAATTAACGCATTGTTGTAAACATAACGAACAGCTTGTACCAAGTATAGCTTAACTGTTATTGTTATTTGATAAACAGAACCAGCAGGAACAGAAGACAAACCTGGAATATTGGTAAAAGATACCAGTGACATTCAAGGTAGGAACCTATTCATATACACTGTATTATGCATTACTGAATGAATAGATGACTACACAACCAATACATAACAGGAGATGCGCAGTCTTCAGTGACATTCACCCAATGCGTATTGCTCCGCTTACTGGAGTTTTCATATCCTAACCTAACAATACAACGGGACAAGCTACACACAATTGTGTGACGCTCTAAACAGTAGATGTGGGAACTATGACTTATGCATTTCAGGCTGTTACATTTAATGAATGGACCACAATTTAATAAGTTTTAGGAATCAATTTCATTTCTGCTGATCAGATTTACGAATTTAATAGTAATAAACCATTCATAGACAAAAAGCGTGAATATAAGAAATAGTTTTCTTTTTTGGGAAGATTATGAGGTATTCGCCTTACTTAATAAAATCTGTTTCTAT